TGCGCACCATAGGTAGTACAATTGGAAGAGTTTAACGTGCACACCATCCAGATGAGATAGTAGTCATATATATACGAGCGATGACCCGTGCAATGTATTGTATTTCTACATTTTTACATGTAGAATAGTATTTTTTCTTCATTAGTTACTGAACTTCGAACTTTCCTTTTTATAGCTTATATATTATGAGAAGCACATAAGCCAAGTGATGGTGGCTCAGTTGATACTTTATCTAGTTAGTTATAGCAGAGATATGGGTTGGGGCAATTGGCTACCTACCATTGTGTAGTCCTATAAAGCTAAAAAATGTGCTTAGCATAAAATTAAAACCCAAGTTAAAAAAAAATCAAAATTGAATTGATGAAGATAACCAAAAACTCGCATTAAATTATTTCTTACTACATTTTATTATTAAATCAAGAACAATCAATTAAAAAAATCTACATTAAAATAAATTAATAGAAACAAAGGAAAAACTTAAACCCAAGGAAAGGAGTAAAATAAAGGGAAAAACTTGATTATCCAAGGAAAAGAGCAATGATTTGTTTAGATTGGTTCACCCCACAAATTGGTGGGAAAATTTGGGTCCAAGCTAAGGTTCATATTTAGGCTGACCTTTAATCTAACAAAGTTCATCTGATTTACACCCTACTTTATCAGAGAGAGCCAAAAGGGATTGAAAAGATATTTAAGAGGAAAGTAAAGAATGGGGAGGGGAGATTCGTGTGTGTGCGTGTGTGTGTGTGTGTGTGTGTGAGAGAGAGAGAGAGAGAGAGAGAGAGAAAATATGAATTTTATGAAAGACAATAAAGACCCATGAGATTTTTAATGATTTAACACAAAAATAAATATACACATGTGTGAGAAAGTAGAGGAGGAAGAACTATGTGTGAGCTTTGTGGTGAGAGGACCCTCACCACCTTTCTTTCCTCTTTCTGTTATATATATAGATGCATGATAACTTGTAGTTATCAAAACGTAACACTGCGATAGCCATGGCTCAAGCTGAGCTATCATGGCCCAACAACAAAATGAGTTCACATCTGTGCCCCACAAGGGGGCACCCCACAGCACATTCCTGTCGTGGGAAAATTTCTCGATGATGACATCATCGGTTCTAATATTAACATCGGGAGATATTTCTAATACATGCCGTGAGATGTTGTGGGGCACCCCCTTATGGGGCGCAGATCTCAACTCCAACAAAATTACCTAATGAAAACCAAGATTCTGCGTATCTAAAAAAATGCACGCAAATTGCGGGAAGAACTTTATGAAATTTAACATAAAAGAGTCAATTATAATTCTATAAAAGGAGAATTATCTCATTTTCTAGGATTAAGACAATAACTTGGAAAGCAACCTTATACCTTCAGACTTTCAAAGTTTAATAAACCCTCGCCACTTTCAAATTTAGTAATTTTTTCCTTCCTTAGATCCATGTAACATTGGGAATTGGAAAATAAATGCAAATTGACCAAAACACAGGAAAAAAAAACTTTATTTTAAGTTGCATGTTTATTTGATTTATAGCTTCACATGCATGTTAGGTGGCACGTACGACATACATTATCAACATTCAAGCCTTTATATGCATCAAACATGCATACAGATGTGATAACTAATTATTAATAAATATGGTAGGATTAGATTATGTAATATATTTGACTGTTTCTTTTTCCTTATTCACCATGTCATTGAGATCGACTTCAGTGAGAGTAAGTCTGTGCTTACACCGTCCCAATAGTCTGTTGCAATTTTTATTGAGAATATCTTCTCATGAAATAAAGTATGAAATTATATTGATCATAATATAATTTTTTATATATTATATAGAAATCAAATTGCAAATATATATGTATAGTATAACTTATCAAACTAATCTGAAATTAATATTATTTGGGATATTGTAATTAGATAAATACTAACCACCACCATACAACCAAGTTGAGGCCCCCAGTGTGTTATTCTTATTCTTAACGATCCAATTACTCAGGCTGGGTTCCTTAATTATTCATACACAAAAAGACGTATTTCAACTACTCTTGCATATAGCCAACTGATGGTGGCTTGGTAGGTTCTCTGACTCATTGGAGTAGAGATCTGGGATCAAATCCCGCTGCCACCAGGGGCTGGGAGGTTAAGGGAAAGGGGATGAACTACCCCCTGTTGTGTAGCTCCATGAAGCGAAAAAAAAAAAAAAAATCTACTCGCATATATATATTCCCCCTCCTCCCCACGTTCAAAAAAAATATGGGTTAGTGTTGGTGGGTTGGGGGGTTAAGGGAAAGGGGATGGGCTACCCCCTATTGTGTAGCCTCATGAAGCGGAAAAAGAAAAGAAAGAAATAATGTATCATGCCAAATAGGAAAGTTCTATTTGAGTAAAAGAAGGCAAAAAAGTGATACTAAAAAAGAAAGAAAAGAAAAAATTTAACACCCCTGGCAGTGCAATTTTATTTGCATTAGTACAAATGTAATGGGAGTGCAAATGAAAAAAAGACAACTTCTCATTTAATTTTGTTTTGAGTTTTACTTTATTCTGCTTCCTGTCTTAATTTACTTCATTTGTTCTATAATCAAAGAAGATAAGTTAAAATTTGAAACAAAAATAGGTCAAAATTTACACTCAAATAATTTGCACTATCATAGTTTCACATCAGTGAAAGAGTACAAATACAAATATGTTCGGTGTAAATACATACAAAGTAATATAAAATACATAGATTTGCACTCTACATATTTGTATTTGTAAAGGCTCAATTTTGGAAGGAGAACAAATACAAATTTATAGAGTGCAAAACCTTGTATTTTGTATGTATTTGCACTGTACATATTTGTATTTGTATTCCTTTCAAACTGAGCCTTAAACACAAATTAGGAACTACTTAGGACTCAAAATTACATGGCTCTCACCAAAGGCTTAAACATTCATTCTTTCTTTCTTCTCGCTCATTACATTTCTTTTAGAGTATAAGTTATTAAATGTAAAATGCAAATGCCCACACACACATATAGAAACAAGATCAAATTGCATGGGAGAAGCCATTTGATGAACAGGCTGACTTTTGGCCCCAAGAATATATTTTTCTCACAAGAAAGATCAGAATACAAAGGAGGTAGATGTACTCTTAGAAGGGAAGCTTCTTCTATGCATATAATGGTTTCCACAGTGAGATTCTTTTCTTTAAAGGGTAGTTTGGTCATTCAAACGGAGATTAGATACGTTATTTTCTTGAATTTTCTGTCGATCAAAATAGAAGATTCAGGAAATCTTGTGAGGGCAGTATTATGAAGGTGGCATTTTTGTCAGCTAGCCCAAATCCGACGTAGTGTCCGTCGTCTTGGTGGCAAGTGGGTCCCAGAAATTTATTCCCCCCAATCCACCCACAACGATTTCAGATGGACAAACTTGCCCCTAATTATAATTGTTTTGATTCCACTATAATACCGGAAAAAACTTGTTGTAACCGTCTGTCGTAAAACGGTGGTTATTTATCAAAATTCATGGGTTGATTGGTCAAAGCCGTTCCTGTATCGTGTCTTCCGGCCGCATAGATCTTTTTTTATCGTCTTTGCTCTCCGACTAGTAGATAGAAAGAGAGAATCAGAATCTCCGTCCAATCTCCCGCACAGTTGTCAACTTGGAAGGGCATCTTCGTCAACGTATGTACGAAAACAATAGAAGTAGTTGGACACGCCTCTCTATGTACGTCTGTTGTCCTTGTTTGCTTGGTGTTGTTGAACTTTCTTCCCTTCCCACAAGGAAGAGATATTATTTAATTTGTAAGTGGGCACATCACCACCGTCCAATCAGTATTCTACTGAATAAATGAAGCGTTGCTCAAGTAATGAAGAGACATGTGCGTCTGCTCCCCCCATCCGCACTGTCCAAAGTTGCCCTTAACCTCCTGAGTCCTGACCCGTGTTACTCTTTTCATTCTCACGCAAAGCTGTGTCCAATTTTGTTTGTATTTATGTAAAACTAAAACCCCAATGACCCGTGTTGTCCTCCCAAACAAATGCAAATCAAATATTTATGTACCTACGTGCTTTTAGTACTAATTAATTTCACTGAGTCTGAGACACTCTAAAGAGAGGAACTGTTTGGCTGTTAATTTATCATCGTGGCTTTTTGGCTTTGCAAAAAATGGGCCCTGTGACGACGGTGAGCAATGTTTGGTGATAATTGAAAACCTGGTCCTGGGAAGCCCAAAATTATTGTCCTTTTAGACTTTTCATTCAAATTTTTTAATGGCTTTTCCTAAACAGTTCAATCACAAAAAGTGAAAACAACTCAGCCCTACTGCCCTACCAAACAGGCTCGCTGTTTCGTCTCGCGTAAAATTAAGAAGGTTACTTTGGTAACACGGGGCGCCTCACACCGGATCTGCTCTTTGCAAGGGCGCCTCACACCGACTGTACACGCACATCCTACCATACATTTGGAATATCTTCCGTACTTATAAATGATTATTTACGGGAAATGTTCCCAATGTATGGTGGATGTGTGGCTGGAGCCCCTGCTTTTGGGAGATCAGATCTGTCGCTGATCGCCTCACCGGCACATTCCACTGTGCATTGAGAGCATCTCGCGTAGCGTACTTAATGTCTTATTATTTGTGTAAGATATTCTTAATGCAGGGTGGGATGTGCCCGATGTGAGGCGCCCTGTATGAGGAGCAGATCCCACCTCTGTTTTTGGAGGTACAGCGTCTCTGAAGAGCATCACTTTTTTTTTTTTTTTTTCCCGAATAGACAACAGAGAAGTGAAACACGGAATTCATCTCCAATCTCATTCTGATTTATCTGTGTCATAACAACTAATATAAACTGCTGCTGCTGCTGCTTTTTTAGCCTTTTTTTTTTCATTTTTTAGAAAGATGGACTGGGACTGGGACTGGGTTTCTGGGTTGCGTTTCTTTTTTTTTTCTTTTTTTTAATTAAATACTATTACATATAACTTTTTAACCTTTTCGCAGAAAACCAATTTTAATCCCCGAAAACGTCTCTCAGAAAGAAAGAAAGAAAGATGCGTCAAACAAAGAAGGGCTTGAGTCTCGTTTACGCCAAAGGGAAGGGTGACTCGCGGGGTTGAGGGTGTCGTCCTTTTTTTTAATTCCTGGGTGTCTTCCAAATCCCATGGCTATAAGAAAGAAGAAGCATCCCTTTCCTCTATAACCAACATCCTCTTCTGTTCCTCCTCTCAGTCACTTCTTCTTCCTCGGAAGTCAGGATTTTTCTTGAATTTAGCCCAATTTGACTGTGAGTGTGTGAGACGTGGGAGAGTTTCCACGGAAAGCTTACTCCTACTCACTGGGAGATATGGAGAAGTTCAATTTTGTTAAGAATGGAGTTATCAGGCTACCTCCCGGCTTCCGATTCCATCCCACCGACGAAGAGCTTGTCCTTCAATACTTGAAGCGAAAGGTCTTTTCCTGCCCATTGCCCGCTTCCATTATCCCTGAAGTCGATATCTACAAGCATGATCCTTGGGATTTGCCAGGTTCGTCACCCATAAAACTACTGTACAGTCTGTCCCCGTACTTGCCTCCTTTGCCTTTTTCATCGAGTACGGATTCACAAATTACGAAGCACATGGAACTAGATTATTTGTGAATTTGCCTACAATAACTGTAGTTCTGTGAACACTAGATGTAACTCCAGGAGTCAAGACAAACTACCTTCAACCTACGAGTTCTGGAGCAGGGTTTGTTTAACATTTTAATCAATTCATTATTCATGGGCACTTGTACCAGAGATCTAGCTAGAAAGCTGAGAACGTCCAGTTCTATACTTCTATTACTGGTTATCGAATTCAATGTGACAAGCTAGGCTTTCATGGGTTTCTTCGATTTTACTTCACATATTTTTCGTTTCTCCTTTCTGATTTTAGGTGGGGTTTTCGTGTTCTTTCAGGTGACCTGGAGAACGAGAAATACTTTTTCTGCACGAGACAAGCCAAGTATCCAAATGGAAACCGATCCAAACGCGCCACTGGTTCTGGTTACTGGAAGGCCACTGGCTTAGACAAGCAAATTGTTGCTTCAAGAAGCAACCAAGTGGTGGGGATGAAAAAAACTCTTGTTTTCTACACAGGGAAGCCTCCTCGTGGGTCTAGAACCGACTGGATCATGCATGAATATCGCCTCGTCGGCGCTGGAACAACAGCTTGCATTTTCCCACAGCGGAAGAACTCGACCCAAGTGAGTTTCCGTTTATACTTGTGCATATATATATTTGACTCCATGCCACTGTAACTAAACAGTATACAGACCGTGTAATTCAGCTAAGTTAGATAGGTAAATTGGAATGAAACCATCTTTTCTTAGTAATTGAACTCGAGCTCTTCAGTGACAGTTTAGCACTAAATTATTCGTTTGTTTCATTCCCCGCAGAATTCCATGATGCCAATGGAAGATTGGGTACTCTGTCGCATATTTCTCAAGAAAAGAAATACCAATAATATCGAGGACGACATCTCCAAACACTACAACGAAAACAGAGTGCGGAACCCCGTGATTGCTAGGCCTAGTTTCATTGATTTCATGATGAAAGATAGGAACAATTCAGCTCCTTCTTCTTCTTCTTCTTCGTCTTCAGGTTCAAGTGGGATCACCGAAGTCTGTTCTAGTGATTCCAACCGCGAAGAAAGCAGTAGTTGTAATAGTAGTTTTTCCTCTCCTTGTAGAAGAGATGCATGAAACGTTTTGCATTGAGCCTGTTCCAGTAGTTGAGCTTTACGAGTTTCAATGAGAATCTCCATTCCAAGTATTAACTTCAAATTCTCCATCGTTTCTGTAATCTCATGTTGCCCACCGTTGAAGAAATTGAACTCGATAGTATTGAGGAAATCTAGAGACTAAATGATGTGGGAATTGAAAGTTTTTTTAAGCAGAAGCAATCCCTTAATTAAAATCAGCAACAACATTTTCCTACGTGCATTTGGACATGTTCCCAATACCCAAATAATTAAAAGCATCCGAGAGGGAAGAGACAGCAATATTCTGGTAGTCGATAATCTAGAGATTTTCTTATTAAAAGGCAAATGATTTTATTGTAAAAGACATGATAAAAATAAAAAAGAAAAAGAATAGTAAAGAGAAACAGAGAGAAAGAGAGGCATCCAAAGAAGGGAATGAGTAAAGGGCATATATCTATCATAGCTTTGTCAAAAGAGATCTCTTTTGAGCTAGCACAAGAAATGAACTTTAATGTGAGAATCCCCTGCACATGCATGGGCTTTCCTTCTTCCTTCTTTCACTATGAAAAAGGCAAAAAAAAAAAAAAAAATCACAGAGAAAGTCCTAATGATGGGTTCTCTAGTGCCTTTGGACCCCATTCAGTAACTAGATTTCGCAATACTAACGGCACTTTAGTTTTGAACAAGATTAGACATTTGAAAAATGTCTTAGAAGGAATTGAACAAGATGATTATGATCATTGATCACCCCTTGAAATCTGTTGTTGCTCAGAACCAACTTAACGTTGTCCGCTGTACAAATGGAATCGGTGGCAATTGGGGAGTCAATTTCTTTTTTCTTTTTTTTTTGTCCTCTAATTCAATTTATACTTGGTAATCAGATTCCAATGCTAGAAATTAAAGCGGTGTTAGATCTGACAATTCGACCTTTCAGCAGATTGAACTACACTGAATTGGCCAATTAGACAGGAGCGGGATTCTTATCATTCAGTTGATTGGAAATTAATCTAATACTTCACACTGAATAAACTAGAAACGCTTATTTATACAGTACAACTTTACCCCATCAATCATGTTCAACTTTTGTTTGTCCATGATGGAAACAAGGAGAAGGCTTTGATAGTATCCTTGTAATATTTCTTCTAAGAATCAGAACAAACTTTCTACGTCTATATGGCATGTTCTTAAATCGTAATAATGTCGCCATTGAATAAGGGAATTATTTGCTTTGCTTCAAGGTGGGAGGATGTGAAGCTGCTGTTTGGATCAGACTCTTAAACCTGCCCGGCCGTAATAATGCAGGAGGGTAGATCAAAATCCACCAGTTCTATACATAAAATATAAAATTAATCAGCCCAAAACAAACCTAGTTACATGAATATAGCCATGAAATGATTTGAATATTTCTGAGAGTTGGTAGAAGAAACAAATTCTATTAAAATACAGAACCCAGAAAAATAAAAAAGAGTCCATATGGGTACAGACTACAGACGCTAACAAATAAGAATAAAAGGAGAACAGCGAAGCAGCTGAATGTAATTGATGGTGTCACCCATAAAATAACTATTTTCAATCAAGCGCCCTAATGGCGCCTGCCTAAAACAATAAACTAAAAGGATTATGGAGTATGGACTGTTGTTAAGTGATTGACCTGGTTTTGTTTCTTTTTTTCTGGAGGGGCCAAAAATAATTGCCAACCAAAGTTTCTTGTGAGAGAGGTTTAGAATCATTGTTAGGCTGTTGGAGTTGTTCACGTCACCCTTTTCTTCATATTTCGCTTTCCGGTTCAAAGAGAGAGACAAAAGAATCAAAAGTGAGAGATCTAATTTGATTGTTGACTTGGGTTGGCGCTGGCCATTGGGTTCCCTTTTGTCAATCTCATGGGTCGGCCGTCGCGGTAGACCATACACTATAATTGGACCTTTGTAGCTTCACCCTGATCAGGTCAATCCCTTGAAGAAAGAAACCCAGCTATATATGTCTGAAAAAAAAAAAAAAACGTGAGGGATATCTTTGTCCAGTTGATGTTTGCGGGCAATTTTGGAATTATAAAAATAATACCTAGCAAACAGGGAATTCATGTTGATTGTTGACCAATATTCTAAACTTAATTACTTCTTAATCCTTTGGTTTCATTTAGAATAATAACAGTAATTTTGACTTCTGAGGGTTGTTTAATAATGAAGGATATCTTCCTTAATTTATATGCAGATGAGCTGATACATTTAACAACTAATGTCCTTATGTAAACCTATCTACTTGATGAGATAAAGCTTTCAGGGACAAGTGTAACGGGTTCTCAAGCAAGCTCATGGCACAATAATATTAATACATCAATTTAGATCAACCAAATCACAGGAGTAATATCCCTAGAGAGATGAACGGAGAGAGTTTGATTGGTGAACTGAAGAATTGCGTTGTTGATTCTTTTTCTTCTTCTTCTTCTTTTTTGGCTGGAACTGGGACTGGAAGTTAGTGGATTCCCTTGTCAAGTGGCAGAGAATTGTTCATACGTCAATTATTATTTTCTGGAATTTCTGGGAACCATGACTTTTCTGTTTTGGCTGGAAGTTGATTCTGGAATTTCTTGGCCGGAGAAAGACACCAAACAGAGTTGGTGGGCAAATGGGAAACAGAAGGACGACTTCGGAGTTACCTGCTTTGGACGCCGTCCACACCGGTTCATTTGTTGACGAGAAGATAGTGATTGAAAGTAAACGATTGATTGATTATGTGGTCAATGCAAATTCTGGGCTGTTAACCGTTGCCCGTCAAGTGTCAAGGTTGGCTGGCACTCCATCTGGCAATCTGTTGGGGGAAGGAGATTGACGAGCTATTCCATTAATTTTCAATTTTTGTAGCTCGATCGGAGTGGCCTTTAACCATATCTGTGCGATAATAACGTGGCTTATACAACAATAGCAAAACAAATTTGTACATAGGAATGGTATGGTGGATCAATTACACGCCTGAAAGTTGTTCCCTTTTTATCTATTAAAACAAAAAACAGAAAGCAGCAGCTAAAGCTGAACCAAGTTTAAGCAAGCAATTAAGCCTTCCCAATCCAAAACTCCGTCAACTTGTGCGGCTTACGGAAGGTGGCTTGAACGCAACTTGTGGAATTGTTGACAGGGTAAGACAAGTTTCACCGTCGTACACGGTACATTATTTAAGTACATGGCAAAATTGTCAAAGATGGAGTAGGCATCGCATCAAGCTTCTTCAACTCAGGTTCTCGGCATCTGGTTATTTGATGCCAAACAAGTCTCCATGACACATCTTGAGAACCTGTTAGCTGGCCCATCCCATTCCCGCTCTTTGTCGAGCTTTTTTTGAACGTGATTTTAGACCCACGAGGGCTTTGGGCTCAGGCCCAAAATATCATGCTATGAATTTTATTACGTTTTTGGCTACACCCTAAACCATCATATCAAGCTTTAAATAGAATAAAATAAATTTTATTACGTTTTTGTGTGACATACAATTTAAACAAAAAGTACATTTATATTTAACCATTTTAACTATTCCAAGTAATAATATTCAAAAATAGTATTTTATAAATTAATAGAACAAATAATTTATCAAAATTCATATTTATATAAAAAGATGATTTTTAATATCAATAAAATTATACAAATAAAATATTAATAATAAAATAATTATTTTAATATTTAAATTGCACATGATATGCATTTTTTATTTTTTATAAATTATTAAGTAATATTTTAATTTACATTAATAAGTAATAACAATATATTTATTATTTATAAAAAACAAAAATATTGTTTACAAAATATTGAATAATATAATATTAAATTGAACCTATCAAATTCACCAATCTACACTTATTTCAAAAAATGATTTTTTATTTCAAATTATTTATAGAAATAATAATATTAACAATGGAATAATTATCTTAGTAATTAAAAATTATGAATTTGTATAGGATATGTATCTTAAAAATTTTAACAAATTTGATATACTTTAAGTTAATATTATATTTTTGTGAATTATTAATTGGTATTTTAATTTTCATATGAGAATTTAATATTTAGTTGATTTTTTTTGTTAATGTTAAAAAATTAAAATAGTAAAATAAAAAATAAGTGATATAATAATTAAAATATAATATGCATATGTGTTTAGTGTCTTAGACTCTTGATTGAAGCATTATAAATAAAATTGTATGATATTTAGCCATCCTGATATATTAATTGTAATATAATTTTTCATATACACCATTAAAATATACATTTTCTATGTATTTATATATTATTTGTGACTATTTTGGTATTAAATTTAGTAAAATTAATGTATTTATGAAGTTTGTATGTATTTCCCTAACATATCCATCTGTTTTCATATTTTTCATCTGTATCCATGCATTTTCAAAACGTATCCGAATCTGAATCCTCCAATATAATACCTGATACCGATTGGATATAAAGATCTAAAGCCATTTGATATAAATAAATTAATTATGTTGTTGAGTAAAAGAAAAATCTTGCCCAATTTACAGGCATGCCTCACCTTCAATATACCGATTTATCGAACTTGAGCCTGAACATATTCTGTTAACAAAGAGTTAAAGCCCAATCCAAACACAGCCTGGCTCGGCCCGTGAACAGGCCTAATCACCACTCCTTTACTTTCAGTATAACTGTATGAAACGAGTGTTAATTATTCCTTCTGACCCTGAGAAATTGCCTCGTATAGAAATTAAAATTCCTGAACACATCCACATTTAAAGAATTTGTCTCTATTGATGACTTATATAGGTTGTGTAGAAGTAAGATTTGGATGCCATAAAACCGAAAGGCTGCAATGAAACCCTCGAATAGATACAATCTAACACGATTCACCAAGAAAAAATCGATTTCTCGGATCCCAATGACTTCAGAGGAGCTCCCCAGTCCCCACAAGGGATGTACAGTGGGGCGCTTGTGGGGGGTGCCCCGTGGGGAGCCCACCGAGCTCTTTCCCAATCATAATCCCAGCGAACTTCATTCGACATTTCGACCCAAATTTCATATGCACATCAGCACCAATTAGCAAGAAACTTTTCACAATTGAACAAGCGCTAGCAATCAAGACCCAAAACATTAAAAGCTTAATTTCATTCATACTAAAGAATGGCATCACTGTTGTAAA